AGACGCAGACACAGATGGGCAGAGACGCACAGACATGCACACCTATATCCACACAGGCGCGCACACACACCCTCACAGAAACATATGCAACCACACACCACAGAGACGTGCACATACACTCAGACACAGACACACACAGTCTCACGCACAGACACACACGGACATACCACACAGAGACATGCACACACAGACACAGAAACAGAGAGACACACACACAAGCACAGCAGTCACATATGCACAGATACCCACAGACACCATGCACACAGACGCAGACACACACACAGACATGCACACACAGACACCCACCGGCACACAGCATGCACACAGATGCAGACACAGACGGGCACACAGAGACGCACACACAGACATACACACCTATATCCACACAGGTGCACACACATACCCTCACAGAAACATATGCAACCACACACCACAGAGATGTGCACACACACTCAGACACAGACACACAGAGACAGTCTCATGCACAGACACAGAAACACAGAGACACACACACACAAGCACACCAGTCACATATGCACACAGACACCCACAGACACACCATGCACACCGATGCAGACACACAGACATGCCCACAGAGACACACATGCACACACAACCCCAGCAGTCATATATACACACACCCATTGGCACACAACATGCACACAGAGGCAGACACACAGACATGTACATATATATCCACACACACACACATACTCTCACAGAAACATATGCAACCACACACCAGAGACGTACAGACACATGTGTGGATGCAGACACACACGCACACACAAGTTCTCACACACAGACACGCTCAAGGGCATACCACACACACATGCAGACAGATGCACACACACAAGCACAGCACACAGTCATATATGCACACAGACACCCACCATGGAAACGCCCACGCAGAAACACGGGTACACACACAGCCACGCACTCTGTCTGGAAAGAGATGACGGAGCCTGGAAAACGTTGGCAGGGCGAACGCGAGGAAGGCTCACCTGCTGCGAAGTGGATCTGCGCTGCCTGCGGTCCGGCGGGCTGGAAGTGGACGGCCAGCTCGACGACGTCGGGGAGGTCAAACACAGTCACCTGGAGACGAGGGTACTCACGGGCCAGCTCTCGGGCCAGTGCACCTGTGCAGCCTGCGGGGAAGCAAATGCACGCTCTGCGGCCGGGTCGTCCTGGTGCCTACAGAACGCTGACGGGGCAGAAGTCATGTTCGAGGGCATGGCACGGAGACCCATGCTGGAAGGGAAAGCCAGTGGTGGGGAGTTCGCTGGGGTGCCAGACAAGACTGTGCAAGCAGGTGAGTGCGGGGGCACAGACCTGCAGGGAAATCCTTCCAGCCCAGGGGTGTACACTGTACTCCTCCCTTCTCCTTCCTGCCATGGGGATGTATACACGATGGTCGGTGCAACAGCAGCCACTCTGGGCCACGTGTGAGGGCACAGACCTGCAGGGAAATCCTTCCAGCCCAGGGGTGGGGGCTGTACTCCTCCCTTCTCCTCTTGCCATGGGGATGTATATACAATGGCCGGTGCTACAGCAGCCACTCTGGGCCACGTGTGGGGGCACAATGGCTGGTGCTACATTAGCCACTCCGGGCCATGTGTGGGGGCACAGACCTGCAGGGAAATCCTTCCAGCCCAGAGGTGGGGGCTGTACTCCTCCCCTTCCTCCTCCCTGCCGTGGATGTATACACGATGGTCGGTGCACAACAGCAGCACTCTGGGCCATGTGGTGGGGGCACAATGGCTGGTGCTACAGCAGCCCACTCTGGCCACGTGTGGGGGCACAGACCTTGCAGGGAATTCCTTCCAGCCCAGACGTGGGGCTGTACTCCTCCCTTCTCCTTCCTGCCGTGGGGATGTACACATGATGGGTCGGTGCAACAGCAAGCCACTCTGGGGCCCAGTGTGGGGGCACAGACCTGCAGGGAATCCTTCCAGCCCAGGGATTGTACACTGTACTCCCCCCCTTCTCACTTCTGCCTGTGGGGGATTATACACGATGGTCGGTGCAACAGCAGCCACTCTGGGCCACGTGGGGGCACAGACCTGCGGAATCCTTCCACCCCAGGGGTCGTACACTGTACTCCCCCCTCTCCTTTCCTGCTGTGGGGATGTATACACGATGGTGGTGCAACAGCAGCGCCACTCTGGGCCACGTGTGGGGCACAGACCTGCAGGAAATCCTTCCAGCCCAGGGGGTGTACACTGTACTCCCCGCTTCTCCTTCCTGCTGTGGGGATGTATACACGATGGTCCGTCAACAGCAGCACTCTGGGCCACGTGATGGGCACAGACCTGCAGGGAAAATCCTTCCAGCCCAGGGGTGTAGGCTGTACTCCTCCCTTCTCCTTCCTGCCGTGGGGATATAGACACAATGGGCCGGTGCTACAGCAGGCACTCTGGACCACAAGAAGGAGGGAGGCATTCTGAGGTTGGGGAACTGTAAACAGATGGTGTGGAGATTGTCCCAGGGCCCTGAACCCCCAGCACCCCTTGGGAACGTGTCTACTGCTCCATCCACTGTCCAGGGCTGGGGTGGGGTGGAGGGTGAGTTAGGATATAATCAGATTTGCTGAGGGGAAGCCAGCGGCTCCAAGGTGCTCTGCCACAGCTCCGCGGCCAACAGAGAGGGCCCCAGAGTCTGTAGGGGGCCTCCTGGAATGTGGGAATATCCACCCACCATCTGGGACTCAGCCTGGCCCAGTTCAGGTCGTCGTCAGGTTTCTCAGTGGAAAAAGGCAGTTTGCAGGTGTCCTGAGCAGGGAAGATGCCCGCGGCTTAATCAACGAAAGGAAGGAGAGCCCTGGTGGGGGGGGGCGGGGGGCTACCCACCTCCCACGTCGCAGGCGGAGGAGAAGCGGGACAGATCGAAGGCCGTGGCCACCTGGCGCGCAGTCAGCTTCGCCACGCCGTGCATGGCCTGCATGAACCGCAGTTGCGTGTCCGGGCTCCGGTCGTACGCGTCCTGGAACACAGCGGGGGCTCAGGGGCACCAGGGAGCACGGGCCGAGGGTTCGCCCAGCGTCTCCCCGGGGGTCCGGAGGGAGGAGCGCAGGGCTCCAGGGCGTGGGGGCTCAGCCAGGCCTGGGCTGCAGAGGAGGCTTCTCACCACAGCTGTGTTGGGCGCCCCTGTCTCTGTGGGGGCTGGGCTGGCTGGGGACAGAGGACCCCAAAGTGGTGGGCCGTCTCCTTGGAATCACTTGGTCCGCACCACAGCCTGAACTCCACGCGTCTGAGTTTCCCAATAGGCTTTTCACAATCAAGCTTTTCACCCTGGAGGCTCCGGGTGGCCCACAAACGTCTCACCGGAGAAAAGCGGGAGAGAAGCCGCAGCGTCTCCGCAGGTGCCCCGGCTCAGCCTTCACCACGCCGGTGCGGTGTGGCAGAGGGGGCTCCTCCGAGAATCCCGGTGTGCAGAGGAGAAGCTCCACTCCGAGCTTCCCCACGTCCCCCCCGGTGGCACCTACCCCGGGTCCCAGAGGAGCCCACAGGCCCATCCTGGCTCGGGGCCGCGTCCTCTGGGGTTCGCCCGGACATCCCCTGTCCCCGCCAGGGCACGCAAACCCTGCTGAGGCTGCTTCTGAGCCCGACTCCCGGCGGGGACGGCCCCGCTCCATCGTGGCTCCCTAAATCCCACGGGGGCTCCCGGCCCTCCCCTGTGTGGGCGGCAATGATGGGGCTTAGGGATGTGTCCTCTGCGACGCCCAGGCCAGCTGCTCACGCCGGCTCGGGGGCCCTGGCCACGTCTCTCGGCTTCTCTCTGCACTACTGGCTTTTCTGTCTCTCCGACTCTGTCTCCCTTAGTCTCTGTCTGTCGATCTCTCTTTGTCTCCCTCGGTGTGTCTGTCTTCCGCTTTCTCTCTTTCTGTCTCTGTCTCCTTCTGTCTCTGTTTCTGTCTTTCTGTCTCCCTCCGTCTCTGTCTCCCTCTCTCTGTGTCTCCTGTTTCTGTCTCTGTCTGCCTCTATCTCTGTCTCTCCAAGCCTCCCTGTCCCGGTGTCCCTACCTCACTGTCTCTCTCTGTCTCTCATCTCCCTCTATGTCCCTGTCTGTCTCTTACTTTGTCTCCCTCTTTGTTTCCGTCTCCCTGTCTGTCTCCCTCGATCTGTCTGCTGTCTCTGTCTCTCTGTCTTTGTCTCCCTCTATCTCTCTCAAGTCTCCCTGTCTCTGTCTCCCTATCTCACTGTCTCTCTCTGTCTCCCATCTCCCTGTCTGTCTCCCTCTGTCTCTCTGTCTTTGTCTCCCTCTATCTCTGTCTCTCAAGTCTCCCTGTCTCTGTCTCCCTATCTCACTGTCTCTCTCTGTCTCCCATCTCCCTGTCTGTCTCCCTCTGTCTCTCTGTCTTTGTTTCCCTCTATCTGTGTCTCTGTCCCCCTGTCTCTGTCTTCCTACCTCACTGTCTCTCTCTCTGTCTCCCGTCTCCCTCTATCTCTGTCCTTCTATCTCTCTGTCTCCCTGTCTCTGTCTCCCTCTATCTCCCTGTCTCTGTCTGCCTCCATCTCTGCCTGTCTGTCTCTGTCTCCCTCTGTCTCTCTGTCTCCCTGTCTCTCTCTGTGTCTCCCTCTGTCTGTCTCTGTCTCTCCCGACATCTGAACGAAGCCCCAGGCTCACCGGGGTTCATCTCTGCAGCACACACGCTCTCTGACTGGGCGCTCAGTGCCATAGTGACGAAGGTTGCCAGGGAGGAATGAGGCCGCGGCCGGCTGAGCCCACAGCAGACTCCCCACGCCCGTCTGGTGCAGCCCTGCAGACTGAGACCCCCTCCCCGCCCGCAGAGGCCCCACGGACCCCACAACGTCTCGCGCGTCCACCTCAGAGAGGTTCTGGGCGGGGAAAGGGGAAGGAGGGGTGAGGATGCAGCCAGCGCTTTGCAAACGGCGGTCTTGGATAAGCAAGTGTCGATTCCATTGAAGCAAAAAACAAAACAAAACAAACCCAGGGCATTCATTTAACGCAGCCTGTTCCACTCCTTCCTGTGTTTCTGCTTTTGAGACAGAGTCTTGTTCTGTCGCCCGGGCTGGAGTGCGGCAGCACGGCTCACACGGCAGCCTCGACCTCCCGGGTTCGAGGGACCCTCCCACCCACCTCGGCCTCCCGAAGTAGCTGGGATTACAGGCTCATGCCACCGTGCCCGGCCTAATCGTTAATTTTTTTTTTTTTTTTTTTTGCAGAGATGGGGTCTCACTATGTTGCCCAGGCTGGTCTCAAACTCCTGGGCTCAAATCATCCTCCGGGCTCGGCCTCCCAAAGTGCTGGGATGACAGGTGTGAGCCCCTGTGCGTGGCCTTCAGACCCGTTTCTAGCAGGGAATTCTATGTTCATCGGCTGCTGGATAACGGTGGAGGAGGGTCTACCTTGCACCTGTTCCCGGGCTGAGGGACGCAACGGCCACAGCACTAAGGTCTCCAGGCAGAACGAGCCGAGCCTTTGGGATCCGTCAGACCGGAGACAGATGGATCAAGGTGCCTGCTGAGCTGGGTGCCAAAGTGCTTTAGCAAAATGCACGCTAGGTGGAAAAAGGTGTGTGCGGGGCTGCTACGCTACCTGGAACAGATCTTCCACCTTCTTCCCCAACAGCCTGTGGTGCTGGTTTCTCCCCTCTCGGATGGCAAACTCCAGGTACGTGAAGAGGTTCCAGATGACGTCGTTATTTTGCAACATGAAGCCGTGCAGAGAGTACTCACTGTCCGACGCCAGGTAAAGGTTCGCTGTCTCCGTGTTACTGTAACCTGAAGAAACGGGGACGGTCCTGTGACCTCCTAACGAGGAAACCCAAGGAAACCTCACCGTAGGGGACGCATCACTGAGAGGTTACGATCAACATCATCGGCCGGGCGCGGTGGCTCACGCCTGTCATCCCAGCACTTTGGGAGGCCGAGGCGGGTAGACCACGAGGTCGGGAGATCGAGACCATCCTGGCTAACACGGTGAAACCCCGCCTCTACTAAAAATACAGAACATTAGCCAGGCGTGGTGATGGGCGCGCCTGTAGTTCCAGTACTCGGCTGACCAGAGAATGGCTTGAGACCTCGGGGAGGATAGAGGTTTGCCATGGGAGCCGGGGATCATGCCACTTGATACTTCCAAGCCTTGGCGACAGAGCGAGGATACCGGTTCTCAAAACAACAGACATTTGAGCCGGGCGCGCGGCTCGACGGCCGTTGTTAATCCCAGCAGCTGTTAGAGAGGCCAAGCGGTGATCACGGATCAGGAATGAACCATCCTGGTGTAGCGACGGTGAAACCCTGTCGTCTGACTAAAATTGCTAGAAATTAGCCGGGCGGAGGTGGCCAGGCCGCCTGGTGGTTCCCAGGCTACTCGAACTGGCGCAGAGGATGGCGGTGAACCCGGGAGGTGGGAGTTGCAGTGAGGCCGAGAATCGCCGCCACTTGCACTTCCGGCCTGGGGTGGACAGAGCGAGACTCCGCTCTCAAAAACAAATAAAAGATTAAAATTAAACATCTCGCATCGTGACGTTACAGGCCACCGACGGGCCGCCAGCTGTCGACTGGCTTAACTGTTACCGCCACGGAGGGCTGGATTCCTTCCTTCATGGTTGTGCCCGACACCTAAGTTTCGCCAGTTATGCAATCAAACCGCCCATGCTAGAGTGGCTGTGGAGGTGCACTGAAGGCTGGCGTGTTGCCAAATCTACATCGGGTTTTGGACGTTAAGAAAGGGAGTGGACCTTCCAAAACTGTGAGGAGGGTTCTCATCCGTCATGGAAAACCCCACGAAGCATGGCCTGTCCCAACTCTTCCATCCCATCCCCACCCAGGCTACCGACCCACCGTCCCACGGATACATCTATTCATCCCACTCCCATCCCATCGTCCACCCAGCCACCCCATCTGTTCACCCCACACTCCCATCGGTCTACCCCAGCCATGCACCCATCATCCACTCATCATCCACTTCAACCCACCCATTCCAGCATGTCCACCTCATCCCATCCATTCCACACTCCATCCATTCATCCATCTCCCCACCCACCCCACCGCCCTATCCATCCATCCATCCATCCATCCACCCAATCCCAGTCGCATCATCCATCCTCCACACACCATTCCACCACACATCCATCCATCCATCCACCATCATCCGTCCACCACCCATTCTGTTCCCCCACCACTTCCCAATCATCTACCAGCCATGCAAATCCCATCCATCCACTCATCCAATCCATTCCACCCACCCATCACATGGCCCACTCATCCGATCCAATCCCGCCACACTCATCCCCAATCCATCCCATCATCGTCACCACCCAATCTGGTTCACGCCCCGACACTCCCATCCGTCTACCCAGCCATGCACCATTCCATCCAGGTCATCCATCCCATCCACACAGTGTATCATCCACACATATCCATCCACCATCCATCCCGATCCATCCAATCCATCCGTCCGTCCG